CCACACACTGGTAGACACTCACCATCAACACCTTCCTCACCACACACTGGTAGACACTCACCATCAACACCTTCCTCACCACACACTGGTAGACACTCACCATCAACACCTTCCTCACCACACACTGGTAGACACTCACCATCAACACCTTCCTCACCACACACTGGTAGACACTCACCATCAACACCTTCCTCACCACACACTGGTAGACACTCACCATCAACACCTTCCTCACCACACACTGGTAGACACTCACCATCAACACCTTCCTCACCACACACTGGTAGACACTCACCATCAACACCTTCCTCACCACACACTGGTAGACACTCACCATCAACACCTTCCTCACCACACACTGGTAGACACTCACCATCAACACCTTCCTCACCACACACTGGTAGACACTCACCATCAACACCTTCCTCACCACACTCTGGTAGACACTCACCATCACCACACTCTTCCTCACCACACACTGGTAGACACTCACCATCAACACCTTCCTCACCACACTCTGGTAGACACTCACCATCACCACACCTTCCTCACCACCACACACTGGTAGACACTCACCATCAACACCTTCCTCACCACACTCTGGTAGACACTCACCATCAACACCTTCCTCACCACACACTGGTAGACACTCACCATCAACACCTTCCTCACCACACACTGGTAGACACTCACCATCAACACCTTCCTCACCACACTCTGGTAGACACACCATCACCACACACTGGTAGACACTCACCATCACTTCCTCACCACACACTGGTAGACACTCACCATCAACACCTTCCTCACCACACACTGGTAGACACTCACCATCAACACCTTCCTCACCACACACTGGTAGACACTCACCATCAACACCTTCCTCACCACACACTGGTAGACACTCACCATCACACTGGTAGACACTCACCATCAACACCTTCCTCACCACACTCTGGTAGACACTCACCATCACCACCTTCCTCACCACACACTGGTAGACACTCACCATCAACACCTTCCTCACCACACTCTGGTAGACACTCACCATCACCACCTTCCTCACCACACTCTGGTAGACACTCACCATCAACACCTTCCTCACCACACTCTGGTAGAGACTCACCATCACCACCTTCCTCACCACACACTGGTAGACACTCACCATCACCACCTTCCTCACCACACACTGGTAGACACTCACCATCAACACCACACACTGGTAGACACTCTCACCACACCACTGGTAGACACTCACCATCAACACCTTCCTCACCACACACTGGTAGACACTCACCATCAACACCTTCCTCACCACACACTGGTAGACACTCACCATCAACACCTTCCTCACCACACTCTGGTAGACACTCACCATCAACACCTTCCTCACCACACACTGGTAGACACTCACCATCAACACCTTCCTCACCACACACTGGTAGACACTCACCATCACCACCTTCCTCACCACACACTGGTAGACACTCACCATCACCACCTTCCTCACCACACACTGGTAGACACTCACCATCAACACCTTCCTCACCACACACTGGTAGACACTCACCATCTACACCTTCCTCACCACACACTGGTAGACACTCACCATCAACACCTTCCTCACCACACACTGGTAGACACTCACCATCAACACCTTCCTCACCATCAACACCTTCCTCACCACACACTGGTAGACACTCACCATCAACACCTTCCTCACCACACACTGGTAGACACTCACCATCAACACCTTCCTCACCACACACTGGTAGACACTCACCATCAACACCTTCCTCACCACACACTGGTAGACACTCACCATCAACACCTTCCTCACCACACACTGGTAGACACTCACCATCAACACCTTCCTCACCACACACTGGTAGACACTCACCATCAACACCTTCCTCACCACACACTGGTAGACACTCACCATCACACCTTCCTCACCACACACTGGTACACTCAACCACCACCTTCCTCACCACACACTGGTAGACACTCACCATCAACACCTTCCTCACCACACACTGGTAGACACTCACCATCAACACCTTCCTCACCACACACTGGTAGACACTCACCATCAACACCTTCCTCACCACACACTGGTAGACACTCACCATCAACACCTTCCTCACCACACACTGGTAGACACTCACCATCAACACCTTCCTCACCACACACTGGTAGACACTCACCATCAACACCTTCCTCACCACACACTGGTAGACACTCACCATCAACACCTTCCTCACCACACTCTGGTAGACACTCACCATCAACACCTTCCTCACCACACACTGGTAGACACTCACCATCACCACACCTTCCTCACCACACACTGGTAGACACTCACCATCAACACCTTCCTCACCACACTCTGGTAGACACTCACCATCAACACCTTCCTCACCACACTCTGGTAGACACTCACCATCAACACCTTCCTCACCACACTCTGGTAGACACTCACCATCAACACCTTCCTCACCACACTCTGGTAGACACTCACCATCAACACCTTCCTCACCACACACTGGTAGACACTCACCATCAACACCTTCCTCACCATCACCACCTTCCTCACCACACACTGGTAGACACTCACCATCAACACCTTCCTCACCACACACTGGTAGACACTCACCATCAACACCTTCCTCACCACACACTGGTAGACACTCACCATCAACACCTTCCTCACCATCAACACCTTCCTCACCACACACTGGTAGACACTCACCATCACCACCTTCCTCACCACACACTGGTAGACACTCACTATCAACACCTTCCTCACCACACTCTGGTAGACACCATCACCATCACCACAACACTTCCTCACCACACACTGGTAGACACTCACCATCAACACCTTCCTCACCACACACTGGTAGACACCAACACCTTCCTCACCACACACTGGTAGACACTCACCATCAACACCTTCCTCACCACACACTGGTAGACACTCACCATCAACACCTTCCTCACCACACACTGGTAGACACTCACCATCAACACCTTCCTCACCACACTCTGGTAGACACTCACCATCCTCACCACACCTTCCTCACCACACTCTGGTAGACACTCACCATCAACACCTTCCTCACCACACACTGGTAGACACTCACCATCACCACCTTCCTCACCACACACTGGTAGACACTCACCATCAACACCTTCCTCACCACACACTGGTAGACACTCACCATCACACCTTCCTCACCACACACTTCCTCACCACACACTGGTAGACACTCACCATCAACACCTTCCTCACCACACTCACCATCAACACCTTCCTGGGTAGACACTCACCATCAACACCTTCCTCACCACACACTGGTAGACACTCACCATCAACACCTTCCTCACCATCAACACCTTCCTCACCACACACTGGTAGACACTCACCATCAACACCTTCCTCACCATCAACACCTTCCTCACCACACACTGGTAGACACTCACCATCACCACCTTCCTCACCACACACTGGTAGACACTCACCATCAACACCTTCCTCACCACACACTGGTAGACACTCACCATCAACACCTTCCTCACCACACACTGGTAGACACTCACCATCAACACCTTCCTCACCACACACTGGTAGACACTCACCATCAACACCTTCCTCACCATCAACACCTTCCTCACCATCAACACCTTCCTCACCACACACTGGTAGACACTCACCATCAACACCTTCCTCACCACACTCTGGTAGACACTCACCATCAACACCTTCCTCACCACACTCTGGTAGACACTCACCATCAACACCTTCCTCACCACACACTGGTAGACACTCACCATCAACACCTTCCTCACCACACTCTGGTAGACACTCACCATCAACACCTTCCTCACTCTGGTAGACACTCACACACCACACACTGGTCCTCACCACACACTGGTAGACACTCACCACCATCAACACCTTCCTCACCACACACTGGTAGACACTCACCATCAACACCTTCCTCACCACACACTGGTAGACACTCACCATCAACACCTTCCTCACCACACACTGGTAGACACCACCATCAACACCTTCCTCACCACACACTGGTAGACACTCACCATCAACACCTTCCTCACCACACTCTGGTAGACACTCACCATCAACACCTTCCTCACCACACACTGGTAGACACTCACCATCAACACCTTCCTCACCACACACTGGTAGACACTCACCATCAGACACCTTCCTCACCACACACTGGTAGACACTCACCATCAACACCTTCCTCACCACACTCTGGTAGAGACTCACCATCAACACCTTCCTCACCACACTCTGGTAGACACTCACCATCAACACCTTCCTCACCATCAACACACCACCTCACCATCACCACCTTCCTCACCACACACTGGTAGACACTCACCATCAACACCTTCCTCACCACACACTGGTAGACACTCACCATCAACACCTTCCTCACCACACTCTGGTAGACACTCACCATCACCACCTTCCTCACCACACACTGGTAGACACTCACCATCAACACCTTCCTCACCACACTCTGGTAGACACTCACCATCAACACCTTCCTCACCACACTCTGGTAGACACTCACCATCAACACCTTCCTCACCACACACTGGTAGACACTCACCATCAACACCTTCCTCACCACACACTGGTAGACACTCACCATCAACACCTTCCTCACCACACTCTGGTAGACACTCACCATCAACACCTTCCTCACCACACTCTGGTAGAGACTCACCATCAACACCTTCCTCACCACACTCTGGTAGAGACTCACCATCAACACCTTCCTCACCATCAACACCTTCCTCACCATCACCACCTTCCTCACCACACTCTGGTAGACACTCACCATCAACACCTTCCTCACCACACACTGGTAGACACTCACCATCACCACCTTCCTCACCACACACTGGTAGACACTCACCATCACCACCTTCCTCACCACACACTGGTAGACACTCACCATCATCACCTTCCTCACCACACACTGGTAGACACTCACCATCAACACCTTCCTCACCACACTCTGGTAGACACTCACCATCACACACCTTCCTCACCATCACCACACCTCACCACACTCTGGTAGACACTCACCATCAACACCTTCCTCACCACACTCTGGTAGACACTCACCATCAACACCTTCCTCACCACACACTGGTAGACACTCACCATCAACACCTTCCTCACCACACACTGGTAGACACTCACCATCAACACCTTCCTCACCACACTCTGGTAGACACTCACCATCACCATCACCACACACTGGTAGACACTCACCTCAACACCTTCCTCACCACACTCTGGTAGACACTCACCATCACCACCTTCCTCACCACACACTGGTAGACACTCACCATCAACACCTTCCTCACCACACACTGGTAGACACTCACCATCAACACCTTCCTCACCACACACTGGTAGACACTCACCATCAACACCTTCCTCACCACACACTGGTAGACACTCACCATCAACACCTTCCTCACCACACACTGGTAGACACTCACCATCACCACCTTCCTCACCACACACTGGTAGACACTCACCATCTACACCTTCCTCACCACACACTGGTAGACACTCACCATCAACACCTTCCTCACCACACACTGGTAGACACTCACCATCACCACCTTCCTCACCACACACTGGTAGACACTCACCATCACCACCTTCCTCACCACACACTGGTAGACACTCACCATCACCACCTTCCTCACCACACACTGGTAGACACTCACCATCAACACCTTCCTCACCACACACTGGTAGACACTCACCATCAACACCTTCCTCACCACACACTGGTAGACACTCACCATCAACACCTTCCTCACCACACTCTGGTAGACACTCACCATCAACACCTTCCTCACCACACACTGGTAGACACTCACCATCAACACCTTCCTCACCACACACTGGTAGACACTCACCATCAACACCTTCCTCACCACACACTGGTAGACACTCACCATCAACACCTTCCTCACCACACTCTGGTAGACACTCACCACACACTGGTAGACACTCACCATCAACACCTTCCTCACCACACACTGGTAGACACTCACCATCCTCACCACACACTGGTAGACACTCACCATCAACACCTTCCTCACCACACACTGGTAGACACTCACCATCACCACACCTTCCTCACCACACACTGGTAGACACTCACCATCAACACCTTCCTCACCCCACACTGGTAGACACTCACCATCAACACCTTCCTCACCACACTCTGGTAGACACTCACCATCAACACCTTCCTCACCACACACTGGTAGACACTCACCATCAACACCTTCCTCACCACACTCTGGTAGACACTCACCATCAACACCTTCCTCACCACACACTGGTAGACACTCACCATCAACACCTTCCTCACCACACAGACTGGTAGACACTCACCATCAACACCTTCCTCACCACACACTGGTAGACACTCACCATCAACACCTTCCTCACCACACACTGGTAGACACTCACCATCAACACCTTCCTCACCATCAACACCTTCCTCACCACACTCTGGTAGACACTCACCATCAACACCTTCCTCACCACACTCTGGTAGACACTCACCATCAACACCTTCCTCACCACACACTGGTAGACACTCACCATCAACACCTTCCTCACCACACTCTGGTAGACACTCACCATCAACACCTTCCTCACCACCACACCACCTTCCTCACCATCACACTGGTAGACACTCACCATCAACACCTTCCTCACCACACACTGGTAGACACTCACCATCCATTCCTCACCACACCTTCCTCACCATCACACCTGGTAGACACTCACCATCAACACCTTCCTCACCACACTCTGGTAGACACTCACCATCACCACCTTCCTCACCACACTCTGGTAGACACTCACCATCACCACCTCCTCACCACACCTTCCTCACCACACACCTTCTGGTAGACACTCACCATCACCACCTTCCTCACCACACTCTGGTAGACACTCACCATCAACACCTTCCTCACCACACTCTGGTAGAGACTCACCATCAACACCTTCCTCACCACACACCTTCCTCACCACTGGTAGACACTCACCATCAACACCTTCCTCACTACACTCTGGTAGACACTCACCATCAACACCTTCCTCACCACACACTGGTAGACACTCACCATCAACACCTTCCTCACCACACTCTGGTAGACACTCACCATCACCACCTTCCTCACCACACTCTGGTAGACACTCACCATCAACACCTTCCTCACCACACTCTGGTAGACACTCACCATCACCACCTTCCTCACCACACACTGGTAGACACTCACCATCAACACCTTCCTCACCACACACTGGTAGACACTCACCATCAACACCTTCCTCACCACACACTGGTAGACACTCACCATCAACACCTTCCTCACCACACACTGGTAGACACTCACCATCAACACCTTCCTCACCACACACTGGTAGACACTCACCATCAACACCTTCCTCACCACACTCTGGTAGACACTCACCATCAACACCTTCCTCACCACACACTGGTAGACACTCACCATCAACACCTTCCTCACCACACACTGGTAGACACTCACCATCAACACCTTCCTCACCACACACTGGTAGACACTCACCATCAACACCTTCCTCACCACACACTGGTAGACACTCACCATCAACACCTTCCTCACCACACACTGGTAGACACTCACCATCAACACCTTCCTCACCACACTCTGGTAGACACTCACCATCAACACCTTCCTCACCACACACTGGTAGACACTCACCATCAACACCTTCCTCACCACACCTGGTAGACACTCACCATCAACACCTTCCTCACCACACACTGGTAGACACTCACCATCAACACCTTCCTCACCACACACTGGTAGACACTCACCATCAACACCTTCCTCACCACACACTGGTAGACACTCACCATCAACACCTTCCTCACCACACACTGGTAGACACTCACCATCAACACCTTCCTCACCACACACTGGTAGACACTCACCATCAACACCTTCCTCACCACACTCTGGTAGACACTCACCATCAACACCTTCCTCACCACACTCTGGTAGACACTCACCATCAACACCTTCCTCACCACACACTGGTAGACACTCACCATCAACACCTTCCTCACCACACTCTGGTAGACACTCACCATCAACACCTTCCTCACCACACACTGGTAGACACTCACCATCACCTTCACCTTCCTCACCACACACTGGTAGACACTCACCATCAACACCTTCCTCACCACACACTGGTAGACACTCACCATCAACACCTTCCTCACCACACACTGGTAGACACACCATCACACCTTCCTCACCACACACACCTTCCTCACCACACACTGGTAGACACTCACCATCAACACCTTCCTCACCACACTCTGGTAGACACTGGTAGACACTCACCATCAACACCTTCCTCACCACACTCTGGTAGACACTCACCATCACCACACCTTCCTCACCACACTGGTAGACTGGTAGACACTCACCATCAACACCTTCCTCACCACACACTGGTAGACACTCACCATCAACACCTTCCTCACCACACACTGGTAGACACTCACCATCAACACCTTCCTCACCACACTCTGGTAGACACTCACCATCAACACCTTCCTCACCACACACTGGTAGACACTCACTCACCACCTTCCTCACCACACTCTGGTAGACACTCACCATCACCACCTTCCTCACCACACACTGGTAGACACTCACCATCAACACCTTCCTCACCACACACTGGTAGACACTCACCATCTACACCTTCCTCACCACACACTGGTAGACACTCACCATCAACACCTTCCTCACCATCACACTGGTACCACACTCACCATCAACACCTTCCTCACCACACACCACACACTCACCATCAACACTCACCATCAACACCTTCCTCACCACACACTGGTAGACACTCACCATCAACACCTTCCTCACCACACACTGGTAGACACTCACCATCAACCTTCCTCACCTTCCTCAACACCTTCCTCACACACTCTGGTAGACACTCACAACACCTTCCTCACCACACTCTGGTAGACACTCACCATCAACACCTTCCTCACCACACACTGGTAGACACTCACACTCATCAACACCTTCCTCACCACACACTGGTAGACACTCACCATCAACACCTTCCTCACCACACACTGGTAGACACTCACCATCACACCTTCCTCACCACACTCTGGTAGAGACTCACCATCAACACCTTCCTCACCACACTCTGGTAGACACTCACCATCAACACCTTCCTCACCACACACTGGTAGACACTCACCATCAACACCTTCCTCACCACACACTGGTAGACACTCACCATCAACACCTTCCTCACCACACACTGGTAGACACTCACCATCACACCTTCCTCACCACACACTGGTAGACACTCACCATCAACACCTTCCTCACCACACTCTGGTAGACACTCACCATCATCACCTTCCTCACCACACTCTGGTAGACACTCACCATCAACACCTTCCTCACCACACTCTGGT